TCAAAACGGGATTTTCGCTAGTTCGCTATTGCAAAATATTGTTTGTGTTTGATAGTTTTTCATTGAAAAACAAGATTTTTTCTGTATTCATGAGTGAAAAGATGGATAGAATGATATGCCAAATGAGAAACGGTTAGAAAGAAGCGAGAGATTGATTGCCCTTCGATAGAACGATTCCATTTGCAAGAGCAATAACTGATTGAGTGCAACGATTGTATCAATTAGAGACAGGCGAAATGTATAAGAGATGAGAACGAGAAAGTGTGTATCGATCATTCTGACTGCTGGATTCATACGGAAGTGGTCGAACAGTAAACAAAATCAGTAGGTTCCATCGTGTTCCGATGTGTTTCTTGTGATAGGGTTCTAGTCGAAATCATTGGAGTTTTTCGACAACAACTGCCGATTTCGATCAAAACATAATGGAATCGACTCGAACAAATTCCGTCGGATCTGGTTAGCAGGAACATCAGATGATGACGAAACTTTCACACGATCAATAATGAGGTAGAGGCTCACGCTTTTGGGTGTGGGTGTGGATGTGGGTGGGTGGGTGTGGGTATGGGCGTGGGTGGGTGTGGGTATGGGTGTAGGCGCGGGTATGGGCGTGGGTGGGTGTGGGTGCGGGTGTGGGTATGGGTGGGTGTGGGTGGGTGTGGCTCAATCTTCTTGATATCCACATCCACACCCTCTCAATTTCTTAATTTTTGAAGTCAAAAGTATTTTCACAGGAATCAATCGAACGATAAGAGCTGCCTCCTAAGGTATTTTTCATCGACAAAAAAAGCTCTTCTTTCATCAATCTTATTTTTCGAGTATAATAAAAATAATAATACAAAAGAAAATGCAGTATTTATTTATCTGTTCCATTCAATTATATGACAAGTAGAATTTTCGACCAGTGTCTGTTAGAACCAGCTTGTAAATTCGGTCATCATCAGTACATTTATATTAGATTCACATTAACCTATAAAACGAATCAAAGTACCATAACACGACAAATATAATAATAACAATAAACAAATCCAAAGATTAATAAATTCAAGTTATAAGAACTGCACATGTATATATCATAATTTAATATAAAATAAAATAAAATAAACTTGAATAATAAACGAAAATCATATTAAAACAAAAGAAAATGCAGTAATAATTAATATATTTATTTATTTATCTATTCTATACAATTATATGACAAGTAGAATTTGTTTATTGTTATTATTATATTTGTCGTGTTATGGTACCTGGTTTCGATTTATAGGTTAATGTGAATCTAATATAAATGTACTGATGATGACCAAATCTACAAGCTGGTTCTAACAGACACTGGTCGAAAATTCGACTTGTCATATAATTGAATAGAATAGATAAATAAATAAATATATTAATTATTACTGCATTTTCTTTTGTTTTAGTATGATTTTCGTTTATTATTCAAGTTTATTTTATTTTATTTTATATTAAATTATGAAAAATAATAATATCGACGAAAACAAAAGTTGATTTTTGACAGAAAATAAGGGATGTCTACTGATAGTGTTTGTTAAGATTGAATCATATATGTATATTTTATTTACTACCATCAATATTCAACTGAAAAATTGATTATATATCAGCAAATCAATCATATGAAATCGAAATTTATCTTCAAGTAAACGTATTGAAGTGATTTTTTATTTTCAATTTTTTTTTCTTAATAAAGGATTTTGTTTCAATTGATAACAATATTCGTTTAAAAGTTCCAACTGGATATTAGTGATTTAACTTCAACAGAAATATTCATTCGATGAAATAGAAATCCAATCTTATGAAAACTTTTTAATTTTCTATACAGTTATTTGGCTTTGTCTTAACGAGTTTTCAGATAATAACAGTACAGTCGTATTCAACAGACTTGCTGATCTTGCGTTTCTAAGATAACGAATATGTTCATTTGAATAATGTACTCTAATCAATATTCAAAAGTCGTACCTTTAGTTAGTGTTAGACCATTTTAGTCACTGTTACCAAATGTTAAAGTTTGGTACTAATTTGAGCTTTAACGTCGAGGAAAATAATTCTATGATTTATGATTCACATTAATTGCTTTTGTTTTTTCGATGATGATGATGAACAGAATTCTTTTTTGGTCATTGATTTTATTTTTCACTTTTCCTTCATCATTATTTATCAATCATTTGAATTTCAAGTAATTTCTTCTGATCCAAAAAAAAGAGAAAAAAAAGAATATGTATTGTCCATGAAGGAGTGTATATGAACAAAGGACAAGTGTTCACATCCATGCACATGAAAAACGATTAAATCAATTCGTGTCTCATCATTTCAATTAATCATATGATGATTAATCAATTATATTTGAATGTGTACATCATCATCAATTATCGTTCGTCAAATTGATATCAGCATCACTAGAATGTCTTTGATTGGCAATGTATGTTTAAAAACATATATATATAAGAAACACATTTTCACCGGTACTCTCATACGATTCGATCGAATAAACCATCAGCATGCTCAATAAAGATAAAACATGACACTCATATGGTTTATTTTTCACGGATTACAATTTTTTTATATTACTTACAATAATTAGTATTATTTTACATTATGATTTTTCATGAATGACATTACAGTTATCAATTTATAATTACTTAGAATATTATAAATGAAATATATTTACAATGCTACGTATGAGTTTATAATGCATTAAAATGTATACATTTATAATGAAATTCATTACATAATGTTATGTTAACCTTTTGAATTCTGTAGTAGGAAAAAGAAATCTATACATATTTAATAATTATTATGTAATCTACCGGAATGTAGCAATAAAGAATGTTCAACGGTGTGGATGTGGTGGGTATCGAGTTAGTAGATATGGATGTGTAAGTGTGTGCGCGTGAATCCGTATGTGAGCATGTTGGTTTTTATCTAGACGTGTCAGTGTCCAGTAGAAATAATTTGGGACGCAAAGGATTACAATACATTAATTTCTGATGATATTTATTGATCGATATTATATAATGATGCATTTTTTGTGTACTCAAAAAGTGAGTACACTCTAGAATCGGTCAGTATGTCCGTCCGGCCGGCCGGCCGTTTACACGATAACTTTTGAAAGGAGAGTCCGATTGCGATGAAATTTTCTACACACTTTAGTCTCAACAATATCTCGATCGAGTTCGAAGATGAGAAGGATTGGCCGAGCCGTTGCTGAGTTATTGGAAAAATAGTCATTTTTCCCCACGCCTTCCTATGCGAGAATCGACCTATCCCCGCTTTCGTAAAGAACGTTTCCTATTATAGTCAAATCAAACCCCAACTATTATATACTATTCGATAGAGAATTTCACGAGCTACAAAATGGTATATAAAACATAAAGAAATAAGAAGACTAACTCGCCTATTGCAAAGGTAATTAAACGGGAATTGGTTCTGTTTGTGTTCACACTCTAATTGATCGACAATTAGAGCTCTGTCTTTCGATCATGGAGATGACAGTTCGAGGTTTTTTGGGCCGGAGAACTCCAATCTGAGCTCTGTTTGCCTTGAACTCCTATTGGTTGAGCAGTAACCAATAGAAATCAAGTTATCGGAAAAACGACTTTCCTAGGGTAAATCAAGGCGAAGAGTCCAAATCTGAGCTCTATTCATCTCTAAATCCTAGTGGTTGACCAGTGGCCAATAGAAATCAACTGTTTATAGAAAAGGTTTGCCAGGATAATTTTTATGCCCACACATTCTAGGATGACTAATCAATCTCATTCACTTTTTGAAGTACACATAACTCTCGGATTTAAATTCGAGGTTTCCACATTTTTTTTTAGAACGAAATCTATTGATTGGTGTTATTAAAATTCATTTCTGTACAATTCAATAAATGCATTATATTACAATAAAATCTATCAATTTTATGATGTATTAAAATATTTTGATTTACAATGAAACATATCGTATGATATTGTCTTACAATGCATTATTTTAAAATGAAAAATATAAGTTTATGATGCATTAAAATGTATCAATTTACAATGAAATTTATTATATGATATTATGTTAAAATTCATTAATTTACAATGATATTCATTGAATCATATTATATTAAAATGTATTAGTTTAGAATGAAATTTATTGAATGATGTTATTTAAATCCATTGCTTTACAATGAACTAATTTATAATGAAATTCATTCATTCAATGATGTTATATTATGATTCATTTTTTTTACAGTGTTTTTTATTTCAATCATAATACATGTTAGGATATATTGATTTATCATAGAAATTCATTCTATGATGTTTTTAAAATTCATCTGTTTGTTTTTTGATTTATATGAAATTATAAAAAACATGAGAATGTTAAAAAAGAATATGATTTATTATTGATTTATACAAATAACAAGAATCGATATGTTGCTTCAAAAATTATCTTATTTATCTTTAGAAAGACTTGAACAAATAAATAAATAGTTGAAACATTAAAAAAAAATTTCTTTTCTGTTTTCCTGGAAGAACAATTCTAAAGTAAATTTTCATAACAATACTTACATTGAGACAATGTTAGAATGAGATATAGATGATTTATTTCGGATGAAATAATTTTTTTCTTCGTTGTTGTACACATTTAGTGTATAGTGTTATTATGTTAAGTCTATGTTATTTATGTTAGAAGATAGATACCAATTTATATCACAGCCTTGTCAGGTGGCTTCGTAACCTATACAGAGAAAGGTTCTATTCGTCATGAAATGGCGAAAGCAGTGTAGTACTCATGACGGCCTTTAATGTATGTAGGTCCTTGCCGTCATTATGTACGGTACACCTATGTAAATTGCTCTATCAGTCCGGCGTGGTCCGCATTGTGTCTATCCGTTTCATACGCATAGGGTCTCTCCCTGGTCGCGCGCGCGCGTACGCGTGAAAATGAGGTTAGAAAAGTCGGGAAGTGAAAAAGAATCAAAACCAATTTACTCAGCAAGTAAACGAAAAAAAAATAAATTACATTTCCTTTCGAATTTGCTCAAATGTTTCTTTATATTCCAAAAGATGAGGATGAGTTGAAGGTAATTTTTCTTGAGCTATATCTATCGCTTGTTGAACATTTTTCATTGCCATACTATATTTTCGTGTAGCCAAATATAATTTTGCCATATTATTATATACAACAGCTAAATCAGGATGATTTTTTGGCAATTTCTTCTCACGTATTTCTAATCCTTTTTCGAAATATCTCAATGCCGTTGAATAATCTTTCATTTCACGATACGTTTCACCTAAATTTATATATGTCGTTGCACATTCCATAGGATTACATTGAACATTTTCTTGTATATTTAATGCTTTTTGATGAAATGCAAGTGCGTTTTCATAATTACTTATTAATCGATGAACATCACCAACATTACTAAATGCAAAAGCTACATTCGGATGATCGTCAGATAAGGCTATTCTCCATATTGCGAGACATTTTTCGAAATTCTCAAGTGCTTTTGGATAGTCTTTCATGCTGCGATAAATCTTTCCGAACCAGTTGTATGGCAAAGCCAGATGAGGGTGATTCGGAGGCAGAGCATTTTCGAAGATTTCATGTGATTTTTCGACAAACTCAAATGTCTTCGAGTAGTCACCCAGGTCGAAATACACAGTACCCATGTTATTGTAGGAAGTAGCTAAATCGGGATGATTCGCAGGCAAAGCCTTTTCTGTTATTTTATGTGATTTTTCGAGAAATTCAAGTGCTTTCGAGTAGCTTCCCATATTCTTATACACTTGACCGATGTTGTTGTGAGAAGTAGCCAAATCCAGATGATTTGCAGGCAGAGCCTTTTCTATTATTTGATGTGATTTTTCGTAAAATTCAAGTGCCTTGTAGTAGTCAGCCATGTTGTTATAGATAAGACCGATATTGTTGTAGGACAGAGCCAAATCTGGATGATTCGGAGGCAGAGCTTTTTCAAAGATTTGATGTGATTTTTCGTAAAACTCAAGCGCTTTCGAGTAGTTACCCATGTGGTAATACACTGTACCCATGTTATTGTACGAAGTAGCCAAATCGGGATGATTCGGAGGCAGAGCTTTTTCTATTATTTCATGTGACTTTTCGTAAAATTCTAGTGCTTTCGAGTACTCGCCCATGTTGTTATGCACTTGACCGATGTTGTTGTAAAAAGTAGCCAAATCAGGATGATTCTGAGACAGAGCTTTTTCATAGATTTTATGTGCTTTTTCGTAAAACTCAAGTGCTTTCGAGTAGTCACCTGTGGCGTTATACACACCACCGATGTTGTTGTAGGATTGAGCCAAATCGGGATGATTCCGGGGGAGAGCTTTTTCTCTTATTTTATGTGATTTTTCGTGAAATTCAAGTGCTTTCAAATAGTCACCCATGTCCTCATACACACCACCGATGTTGTTGTAGGAAATAGCCAAATTGGGATGATTCGAAGGGAGAGACTTTTCTCGTATTTGTTGCGATTTTTCGTAAAAGTCAAGTGCTTTCGAATAGTTACCCATCCTGTTATGCACTCCACCGATGTTGTTGTAGGACAGGGCCAAATCGGGATGATTCGGAGGCAGAGCCTTTTCTCTTATTTCATGTGCTTTTTCGTAAAATTCAAGTGCTGTCGAGTAGTTACCCATGTGGTAATACACTCCACCGATGTTGCTGTAGGAAGTACCCAAATCTGGATGATTTGGAGGCAGAGCTTTTTCGTAGATTTTATGTGATTTTTCGTAAAATTCAACTGCTTTCGAGTAATCGCCCATGTTGTTATGCACTTGACCGATGTTGTTGTAGGAAGAAGCCAAATCAGGATGATTCGAAGGCAGAGCTTTTTCTCTTATTTGATATGATTTTTCGTAAAATTCAAGCGCTTTCGAGTAGGCACCCATGTCGTTATACACCACACCGATGTTGTTGTAGGACGTAGCCAAATCGGGATGATTTGGAGGCAGAGCTTTTTCTTTTATTTTATGTGATTTTTCGTAAAATTCAAGTGCTTTCGAGTAGTCACCCATGTCATTATACACTGCACCGATGTTGTTGTAGGACAGAGCCAAATTGGGATGGTTTGGAGGCAGAGCCTTTTCTCTTATTTGATGTGATTCTTCGTAAAATTCAAGTGCTTTCGAGTAGTCACCCATGTCGTTATACACTGCACCGATGTTGTTGTGCGAAGTAGCCAAATTGGGATGATTTGGAGGCAGAGCCTTTTCCATTATTTTATATGATTTTTCGTGAAATTCAAATGCTTTCGAGTAGTCACCCATGTCCTTATACACTCCACCGATGTTGTTGTAGGAAGTACCCAAATCGGGATGATTCGAAGGAAGAGCTTTTTGTCTTATTTTAAGTGATTTTTCGTAAAATTCAAGCGCTTTCGAGTAGTCACCCATGTCCTTATACACTGCACCGATGTTGTTGTAGGAAATAGCCAAATCGGGATGATTCTGAGGCAGAGCCTTTTCTCTTATTTGATGTGATTTTTCGTAAAATTCAAGTGCCTTGTAGTAGTCAGCCATGTTGTTATGGATAAGACCGATATTGTTGTAGGACAGAGCCAAATCTGGATGATTCGGTGGCAGAGCTTTGTCGTAGATTTGATGTGATTTTTCGTGAAATTCAAGTGCTTTGCAGTAGTCACCCATGTCGTTATACACTGCACCGATATTGTTGTAGGACAGAGCGAAATCAGGATGATTCGGAGGGAGAGCTTTTTCTATTATTTCATGTGATTTTTCGTAAAATTCAAGTGCTTTGGAATAGTCACCCATGTTGTTATATACTTGACCGATGTTGTTGTAGGAGAGAGCCAAACTCGGATGATTCGGAGGCAGAGCTTTTTCGTAGATTTTATTTGATTTTTCGTAAAACTCTAGTGCTTTTGAGTAGTCACCCATGTCGTTATACACTGCACCGATGTTGTTGTGAGAAGTAGCCAAATCGGGATGATTCGGAGCGAGAGCTTTTTCTCTTACCGTATGTGATTTTTCGTAAAATTCTAGTGCTTTCGAGTACTCGCCGATGTTGTTATGCACTTGACCGATGTTGTTGTAGGAAGTAGCCAAATCAGGATGATTCTGAGGCAGAGCTTTTTCTCTTATTTGTTGTGCTTTGTCGCAAAATGCAAGTGCTTTCGAGTAGTCACCCATGGCGTTATACACAAGACCGATGTTGTTGTAGGACAGAGCCAAATTGGGATGATTTGGAGGCAGAGCTTTATCGTAGATTTGATGTGATTTGTCGTAAAATTCAAGTGCTTTTGAGTAGTCACCGATGTGGTTATATACTTGACCGATGTTGTTGTAGGACAGAGCCAAATTGGGATGATTTGGAGGGAGCGCTTTGTCGTAGATTTGATGTGATTTTTCGTAAAATTCAAGTGCTTTCGAGTAGTCACCCATTTTGTCATAGAGAAAGCCGATGTTGTTGTAAGAAGTAGCCAAATGAGGATGAGTCTGCGGCAGGGCGTTTTCTATTATTTGATGTGATTTTTCGCAAAATTCAAGTGCTTTGGAGTAGTCACCCATGTCATTATGCACTATACCGATATTGTTGTAGGAACTAGCGAAATCGGGATGATTCGAAGGCAGAGCTTTTTGTCTTATTTTAAGTGCTTTGTCGTGAAATTCAAGTACTTTCAAGTGGTCGCCTATGTTGCTATACACTTGACCGATGTTGTTGTAGGAAATAGCCAAATTGGGATGATTTGGAGGCAGAGCTTTTTCTCTTATTGTAAGTGATTTTTCGTAAAATTCTAGTGCTTTCGAGTAGTCACCGATGTCGTGATAGACTTGACCGATATTGTTGTAGGATTGAGCCAAATCGGGATGATTCGGAGGGAGAGATTTTTCTCTTATTTGATATGATTTTTCGTAAAATTCAAGCGCTTTCGAGTAGGCACCCGTGTCGTTATACACTGCACCGATGTTGTTGTAGGATTTAGCCAATTCAGGATCATCTTCTGTGAGTGTTGTATGCTTGATTTCGAGAGACGTTTCATATAATGAAGCCGCTTCTTGGTACTGTGCTTTTACGTGTTTCGATAGGCCAAGTTGATGATAGATATATGCCCTCTCACTGTCATTGGACGCGTTCTTCAGCAATGCGTTGTAGAGTTCTTCGGCTTTATTGAAGTGCCCCACTGTGAACATAAGATCACCCAGTCGCTGCCATCCTGTGGATCCATAGAGCTCACTGCGTATGCTGCGCGTGAGAGCAGCCAACTGTTGATCATTTTCATCTGTGAGAATCAATTGTACTTCCCAGAGGCGACTATTGGTGGTGATCTGTTTAATTTCAGCGATACGAAAAACAGTGTGCATTGAGAAGAGTATTTCTTGTTCTTCGTTGAAGTAACTCACTTGTTGGATGGAGGCGAAGGGTGTTGATGTGATGGTGGGATCAATAAACATTTGAAAGAGAATGCCCACCATTTCGCTGGCTATTGAGGCACTTTCAGGGAAGGCAAGGGAAACGTGTCGATTTTCGCTAGTGGATAAAAAATTGTTAAAGGACATCAAACCACTTTTTGTTTTCTGAAGTTTTTGAAAGTCAGCGGTGGATAACCCCTGCCCTCTGTAAACAATAATGGGCTCTCTCTCAGAACCTCTTGCCTGTTGTTTATGTAATTCTTCTATTTGACAATGTAGATCATGAATAAAGAAGCCCATTTTCATAATTGTTTCAGATTCCAGTGTTCGAAGAGACCAGTTGATTATCTGGTAGAGGAAATATTCCCGAGTGTACCACCAAATTGATGATTGTGGACGATAATCACGTTCGAATTCATCGATACGGTCCAATGTAACAGTATTGTTGATGTATTCGTTGCGCCAGAATTGAATAAAATCCTTAATTGCTTGATCAGTATAGTCGATTTCAAGGAGAATTTCTTTGAACAGTTGAGTATACATAAACGAAGGTTCAAGTTCGTTCGGATTTTGGCTGAAGCCATCTTGATGTACATTGAGAAAGCTTATCGAGATATCATCTTGATTACATTGTTGGATGGCCACTTTTAGTGCTTTACAGATAGGTGTAATTTCCGTATATATGCCCTTAATTTTGTTCCAATCGTTGGTGCAATCTTCGTATGGAACTTTGTTTCCAGAAAAGATATAAATGCTATCAACATGAGGAATATCATGGATGAAGGACACCATTTGTTGTCTCATAGTATCCGCTACTATGAGGAACGCCTTTCTATCATCGACTTTGGTAAGGAAGTCAATACATTGATCGATCTCCGCGAAGGTATGAACTTCGTTGACTATGCTTTGAAGTTGTGCCAAAATGCTTTGATAATCTTTATTACCTTGGTCAATATTGGCATCTAACCATATCAGAAAGAAATCTTGGAAAATACGGCGTCCTGGATGAATGCTAGCCGACTGTGCTGATGTTGTTGTCGATGGGATCTTTGAAGATGTAGATATAGGCTTGTTTGGTTTTTGTACATCCATATTACTCTGAATAATAAGTTAATCGTCAATTGAAAATTATAAATAATTTTTTTGTCACTCACACATACACTACTTCGTGTCTGTATATATCTATTTAGTGTCTTTTTCTCTCTATTTTTCTACTACGCAAAATGTTTTATGTTTTTCGTTCACACCTAAGAACGAACCCTACTTGTTTTTGTTGAAAATATTAAGGTAAAAAATACAAGAGAAACAGAGAGAAAAAGAATAAAAATATTTATTCGTTGGAGACATCCGAACGAACAGAAAAAATCAATCGCATCATTTTTCGTTTTGCTATTTTTACAAAATTTCTCTTGCTTTTCTCTGCGCACAATAATTTTAGTAATAATGCGTGGGATATAGTTTCTCCGTCAGTGACTTTGGTAAGAAAATCATCATTCATTAGTCATTTTTTCATTGACTCCTTTCATGACTTTCTTCTTTCTGTGCCTTGCATGAGACTGCTCTGAAAGCATTCAAGCTTAACATGACAAGAACGAAAAAAAATCATCGTTACTTCTATTTTTTTTGCATTATACAGTAAAACATTTAACGTCTGCTACACTTCACTAACCTTCTTTTTCTTTCCTCTAAATGACTCATCCCTTACTAGTATTAATCTTGACTATGTATGTTTCTTTTTCTTTTCTCTTGTGTCAGCATTATATAATGTTGTGTTTAAAGTAACTTAATGAGGACAAGATAGTCAACAATATCAGAGTCTGAAGGTGAAAAGATGACACTCTTCCGTTCATATTACACTAAGTGTCTGTCAGTGCGAATAGCTTCTGACAATCAATCTTGTTATCTAACTGGAAGCAATTTAGACGCCAGGGTGTGAATGTGGGTGTCGGTGTATAGATCTTCTCTTCATTCACACACAACCACTCACACCCCACCATTTTCTCTGATGAGACCATGAAGCTCTATGCAGCTTCGATAGTAATGAATATTTTCGCCAGCTGGTGAGATTGACAAATACAATCAAATATTGATGACAGACCGATTCATCATGTGTAGATTTATAACATTGGGAAAAAGTATAAGGTCAACAGTCTTGCGCAAAGAAAAGTGTACCTCGGCTAATTGCATTCGAGCATGGTCTCTTCAAGGAGGAAGTTAAATTTGCTCAATATGATTTTCAAGTTGGAGAAAACAGATGACTATGGAAGCCCATCAGATTCCTGTCTGCGAAAGATTCTGCGGTCATCCTTAACTTTGAGCAACTTTTGTACGCAAGAGAGAAGATCGTTCGGACGAAAAATTTATAAAAGCAGATAGATCAACTGTTCTTGTGCATTTTATTTTCAGAAGTTAGAAAGGTCATTTACACTTCGAGTGATTTCCAAGCTTGATTGAGTAATCCAAAATTCTTTGAAAACATCGGACGAGTTTAATATTTTGGGCTACACCATTTGAAATAGACGTCGAATTCATTTTTCAAAGCGAATGTCAATGTAAGACAGTGTTTGCTTCAAAATAGCATAGTTACGAGCTCTGTATACCATTCCGTTACAAAATGTCAATTCTTGTAAAAAAAATATGCCACTTGTTTGCAAAAGAAATGTGCAGAAACGGCCTGTAATCATTTAATTCTATCGATGTTGATTTTGACAGTGGTTGACGTTATTTTGATGACATACAGAGCTCGCGAATAATCCATTTTCAAGCAAATAGTAATTATCTTATATATGGATTTATTTTTGGAAAAATTACTTCGACCTCTATTTGAAACAGTATAAGCGAAACACTCTGAGGCTAAATACGATACTGACTCATTCATGTGTCGCATTGTACTAAATTCGAGATGTTTCGGTCTAACTTTCACTTGATTCATTTTTCATGAAATAAATGATGAATCATTTTCAGCACATACTACATGAATCAATCATGAGTAACATCAGGCTCTTGAAACATTTGGATTCGGTTATCTTTAGAATGAAGAATATTCTAAAACTTTCTTGAACTATCTGCAAGTTAACAAATGTATGAGTCAATGGTTTAAAAATAGTAGATAAAGTTTAAACAAAATAACTTTGCACTATAGATCGTATCTTTCTACTTTATGTAATTTAAGTGAATATGATATCGATGAATGCCACTGATCAAGAGGTCCCAATCGAAATTATAACCGCAGGATCTTTCAGAATAGCTGAACATCTGACTATGTTGAATGAAAGATCTTTCCATTCCAGCTCATATATCTAAATATTTCTCTAAACGATTGGCGTCAAAATTCTCTGTTTAATAGCATGTTTGACATGATCTAGCTGTGTATGGATTTTTCGCTTGAAACATGTAATAGATTTGTACAAAAAGCAGTATCAGCACATTCGAATATAGTGATATTTTGGTCTTTAAAACTATTTCGATACGTTGCCTGTTCGAAGAACTGTTCTTGAAAATCAATGTTCATTAATATGATATGATAATTTTGTCATGGATTTTAAACATGTTGAACTTGGCTGCATTCATCGAACTGGCATGACATATGCATCAAAATTAAATTTGTAGAAAACCCAATCGAATTAGATAAGGAACAAGATTGTGGAAAGTTCGTAACATAACATTGGTAAGTACTGATCACTACTTTAGACAACTCCATCATTTGTTTTTTGAAAAATAAAATTCTAACCCAGATAAAGTCAAGTAGGTCTCTACTAGGAAACTTTGCGGCGTATCTCTTATATAAGCATTCGGTCAAAATACTAAGAGTTTGAGGGTGAGGGTGTTGGTGTTGGTGTGTGAGTGTGCTTAAAGGTCTTCTTTTCACTTGAGCCCACACCCAAATACGTACCTCCATTTATATAATATAATTTTATTGTTATATTCCATCGCATGGAGGACGACTGAAATCAATTAATACCTAAATATTAGAATATAATGTTGTGTTACCTTCTAATAATATTAGATATTTATATGTCATCCTCATCGTA